TCCGGGGATGGAGTCAGTTTAGGTAGTGAAGCAGATGAATGAAATAACTCGTTATTTTGAAAATGGCCAAGTACTCGACTTTCAAATGCAATCCCTGATAAATGTTTAACAGATTCTGTTAGGGGATTAGATGTTTCGAATACAGTATGTTTATCAATCGTCATTCCAAATGTATTGGGCTCCTTGAAAGGGATTACACAAGTTGAAATAAAAATAAGCAAGAATTGACAATTTTTTAATACTCACGCAGAAGTAGAGATAAACAGTGATCACACATTCATTAAAGACATACACACACCGTTCTATTGCCATTATTTTATACCTTCAGCATAGTAATTCTGGAAATTAAACGCCAATACCTAAAAAAAACGCAGTGATTGCCGCTAACTGATCCCATCTAATATACATCAATCAGATGAAATATGAGTGATCGCATATCATAACTGTATCCGAAAATGATGTGGATTTAGACTAACAATAATATTCGGTCTGATGTAATAACAGTTAATATTACAAAAAACAGGGCGATCTCCTTAAGCACGGTACATTTTTTATATACCAGATATGTATTAAAGTAACGTAATCTAACAATACCAGTAATATCACTTAGTTAAACGGTTATGTTGATCCGTTTTATTAACAATCACTTCAAGTATGTAAGTTCTGCACCAAGAGATAAATATTTCTGATTTCAGTAGTCATTGCTAGAACATTATTTCGATTCCTTTATTGTTTATCTTAAATTCATCTCGCTGTGCTAATGTGGCAGGGTAACTTGATTCAATATAAATATATGCCAGGCTCTATGCTGATCTTAACTGAATGACTGACTAAAAATCCGTATTGGATTTATGGTATTCTAAGTGCATGGCCAGGTAGACTAATAAGCTGTTGGTTTTCCACCGATAAGTATCATCATCCAAGTACACTAAAGGCAAACAACTCTGGAAATTAATGTACACCAAGATTTAAAATCAGAACAGAAGAATAGCATACGAAGAGATTTATGGAAAAACACGAATGTAGAAAGTACATGGGCACAAAAAAAATTAGAAGAAAATGTATTTTAGTTAAACTTTTATCGTTAGTACGCGTAATGATAATTGAGATTTCCAGTTTTCGTGAACAAAAGGGTGATGAATGAACGGCGGATCCTCCATAGATAAATGTGGAAAGAACTGTTCAGACATGACGACATTACCCCAAGAGGATAAAAGTACATTTTCCAATGGTTGTATGGATCCAGGATATGCCTAAACGTGCAGAGAAAAATTACTAACCATTATGCAAACACAATTATCCAACACGAATATTTTGTTTATTGTAACATAATAATTTTGGATTTATAACTGTACAATCTAATGAAAAAGTTATTGAAAACGATCATTCGCTCTCTTACTTCTTGTTAATCACTATGGATAACTCAAAGTGTACTAATACGCTGAACATGAAACCTTGATACTAAACCAAACAATGAGATGGAGTTGATATGAAAACCGAAATGCATTTGAACTACACATTTTGAACAATCTGGTTACATATGTCAAGGCATTTATATATGGAAGGCAAATAAAGGTCACTTAAATAATAGTTTAATATATATGAAGAGGTGAATGGAAAGAAAGGGAAACCATAATCCAGGATGACAACACATTTTTTCATATTACATTATATTCTTACTCCCTTACCACCCCATATTTACAGTAATCTTGTTTGATTTTTAGTTTCTCGACTGTAAATGAATTGATAAGCGTGACTAGGTTGTTTGAAATGCATACGGCGAAAACATCACCTTTTTCAGATTATCTCCTTTTCGTTACACTATAAAAATTTATGAGAAGAACTAGTTATTCTGAAGCAAGTGAAACAGTTTGATTAAATACTCTTAAGCAAAAAAAAATTAGAAACAATGATGCTAATACGAATAAAAAGTTAACAAAGTTAATGTAGATTTATGTGCCAAGCCTTGAGTCGCGTTGCTTTTATTATAGCCAGAAGTAGTAACCAATAAACAAAAATTATGCTAAATGTTTCAAACAGAAGTCACAAGTGGTAATCAAATGTTAAAAGTCCTGGTTTTCACTCCAAAAAGCGCTATAGATCCATACTGCTGAGGAGCTTCTAATCGAGACAAAACAGCTGTCCAGGGTCTCACAGTCTTTAACAGTTCTTCAGTTAATATCAGTTTATGAAGATTATCTTCCAGTTGGATAGATCCTCAGAAATCGCCAACTCCAAAAAAAGTTATTGTAGCATAACTCCAAATATTTACAGCAGCCCCGTTTAATAAAAAACAAGTAGTAAAGATAAAGTTTATCATGGGTTTCTTTTCCAAAAAATATTCAGATCCCTGGAAACAGAAATTCATTTGGACACAATTACTCAGTACTTAAAACGGGTTCATGATATTTCCGGTTTCGCTAACCAATACCTACCTGAATAAGGTTCAAACTAGAGATGCATTATTTGATAGGTAAGCGTAATTTTCTAGTACTTTAGTCTCCTTAGAGTTTAATTCATAAGCTAAATTATATAATATTGCTATACTCTTTAAAAAAATACAATGATAAGAAATAAATCTCTAATCAGGATCGTAAAAACAACTGAACTCACCAATTTCAGTATACCTGAGAAATTTTGATATCTTTTAAGATGGTTTATTGTATGGTTCAAAACCGTCACATTAGATCCTCCTAAGTCAATAAGTGATTTGCAAGACTGTGATGGATAATGTGAAGATTTTTCTAAAGGTACATTTAACAAAAAACGAGGTGGCATGTAAGTTCTGAAGAATACATGAGTGACACATCCAGTTACATTACTTGGAATGGTTTTCATATAGGAAAACAGACCAGCTTGATGTAAGTAACCATAAAATAAAATCAAGATAAACTGATGAAATATCCATAGTACAACAGCAATTATACAAGTATATGAAACGTCTTTTCGTTTTGTATGTCTTACTTTGGCATCAACACTGTGACCAACGATGAAACAAGCATACGGTAGACATGGAATAAGAAAGCGTGCTTCTTGATGAGGTATGATAGATAAAACCAACGTAGGGAATAACACACTAATCCAAGCAATATACGATGCAATTGAACGACGTTGTAAAGGTTGAGTGAATAAACGAAATGTAAAAATAGGTCCAAATATTAAAGGCCAATTAATAAGGAGATGTGTAAGTCGAGAATGTAAACCATGGGAGGAAACATGGTGTGAGTTGGAATTATAAGTTAAAAACCGGTAAGGTGTATAAATCAACTCAAATTGTGTAAAACCGACCTGGAAAGCTTGTAATAAACTCACATTGTGAAAGTATAATGTATCTATTATTACACAAACGAATGTATTGAGAAAAACAAATACAACAGATGATAAACAAAGAATTATGGAAACGTACTTAAACTTTACCAAGATGAATACTAATTCGATAATTCCTAATGGAAGAATGAACAAAATATAAGTAGGTCGTAAAAATGTACCCCACACGACAACAGCAGACTGAATACATATAAAAAGAATTAAAGATTGTTTATTTACAGTAAGATCAGATGACCGCTCTAAACGATCCAAAATTTCCAAGAATAGTAGGCCAAATAAAGAAACATAAATAGATTCCCATACATTGACAATTGTACGTGTAGACCATAAACTCCCACCGAACGCGCATGATGCATAAAGTAATAAAGCTGTCGGTACAGAATGATATTCTACAGCATGTAATATTTTTTGAATTCTAGACAGCTTTGCTGAAACCTGATGATAATCAACATGTATGCAACAGCATAATATGAAAAGATCGACTAAATACGAACCAAGTACAGTAACTAACCGGGAAGGAAACAGAATTCTATTTAACATATCAGATCCACTGAAGTCAGTTTCTTCAGCTAAAAAATAAATAAATAGATTGAAATACTAGGGATATTTCCAAGATGATGAAAAATAATACACATAAACAACATAATCGTGAACTTTGTAAGAGCATGATAACTAAATTTATGTGCCGATTCAATCCTAGACACTAGTTAACTTTCATTTATCAAAAACTTGAACGAGCAACGGAACTTGATAGACAGCAGCTAACCGATGTCAAGATATGAAACAGATGCTAATCATGAATTATAAGACAGATAATTACTAGTTTTTTCAACTAGAGGTGTTATTGAATAAGATATTTAGAGATTATTGACTCGTTTACCAAGTGCAGATTTACGCACTTGACTTTAAGTCAAACGCTAAGTGTAAGGGTTGGTTGAACTACTAGTTATCCTAGCCGTAGTTGAGGCGGAGTTCGAACCTGAACGGAAGTCGAACGCCTTAGCTACCTCTTCACACGTGAATAACAGTAGTAGCAATAAAAATAATTTTATGGTTAAAAAATATGTAAAAATAATGTATTACACAAATTAACTTGATTTTGGCAGGAAGAACATAACCTCCGTACCTCCGATAGGTTGTTCTATTTAACCGTAGTCCCATACTTTTCAACAGTACACCTGGGACTCAGATAAAATGAGTGGCAAATGAGCGATAAATCTGTAATCACAGAAACATTAATTTTATAATCAACCTCACCATGAATCCATTTGGCAGCTTGAATTGGGATATGTACAAAAGGTGACATTCCAGCTACAGATCTAAGAGGACCTTCGTCACCTAAGCGAAATTCCCATGTCCTTAATACGTCCAGATTATAAATGTCACCCGCTGCAACTTCAATCCCTTGGAAATACTCATCTGGGTGTAAATAACCCGACTGCAAATTGAACACAAACAGAAACCGTAAACATAAGAGCAGTATGTAGATAACCCAACCATGAAGATGGGAAGTCATGGATAGCTAGAAGTAAGAACAAAATAGGAAGATAGTTTGGATGAGTTTATATTACAGTTTTCCATTGAGAAAATGAGATGTTCAACAACAGAAAAAACTAGGAAAAATAGATTATCGTTTATTGAACTTCAAAGACTAACATCAGGAGAAAAAGTGATCAAAACGTTGATTCTAATTTAGATAATTGAAATGAGATAGCACTACATGACTCATTTGGAACGTTTTCAGACTGCAGACAGCTCGTTCCATCATCCTTTTTTGTTTTTAGTTCCATGCACTGGCTACTAGTTTGAACAATGAGAAGTGTATGTTTATTGGTTGGATGAGGGAGGATACGCCATGGACATGGTTCTTTTAAATTGGAGTGTATTGACCTTGAGAAAAAAAGATTGAAATATTTAGAAAGATTTATGGACATTTGATATTTTGTATGTCAAGCCACACACAATTTTAATTAAAATATATATAAGCGAACAATATTGTTCGCTTATGTATGTTGTTCTAGATCACAATATGGGAATTTTTCACATTTTAATTAACAACAATAGTTAAAAATAATACTTGGTCAGGTGTTGACAAAGATTCGCAGTTTGAAACAAGAGGCTTATAACTTGAATTCATTGTTTTACTTGTCATTAAGTCATGTAATCACATTTCCACTTTGACATTCTGTAAACACACCAAAGACAAAGAGCTTCCATCAGACTTATTTCACAATCTAATTACTTAATTACTGCATTCGAATTTACAATGTAACTTACTATCACCAGATTAATCTATTCGGCTTTGAGCCTCACATTGTGAGCCAATGATATTATTTCACTAACCCAATTCAGCGTCCAACCATAAAAATCATAGAAAAATTTGAGGTCAAGAATCAGACCAAGAGGGAAGACAAAACAAATGGGCTTATAATAGGGAGACAAGTGTTAGCAATAACTAATCAACCTCATGACCAACAGAATAAGCTGCTAGTAACTTGTGGGGAAATTCTCATAACTTATTTCTGTCGGTAGTTTGTGATTTTGTTTAGAAGGATAACAAAAGCTCCACGATTAAACTTTTCTGCTCACAGAAAGCAATTTCGACAAAATCATTTTCCTAAATTAAAAACGTTCGCCACCTCAAAATATTAAGATGAGCAGTGTGTAAATCAGCTAGTTACAAAACGACAATTTACTGGAAAAATTTGATAAAAAGTATAAGACAATGTAAATAAGCAGTTTGAATAAACTCACCTTAAAACAATTACTGATGAATACAAACTGTCATTGAGTGCAGATGTGGATGGGAGCAATATGTCCAATTTTTCACATAATACTTTCATTACGAAGTCAGCGGGTGCATTTATGTTCAAAGTTGCATATTTATCCATTTTTGTTGGCTGTAGGTTAATAATTACTAGTTTTGAGTCAAGATTCTTTGAACTCTCAATTTTATAACCATTTTGAATGAAACGTCGATTGTTGGTATTCCTGTTATTGACAGTCTTACAAACATTTGTTAGAGGAAAACCGGCAGCAGGGAACATTTGTAGTGATGAGCCAATACATATATGAAGATCTGCTTTTCTGGAAACGAAGAAAGATGTGACATAAACTTCGAAAAATACTCTTAAAATCGTAGTCTCAACTTTAAAATCTTAGGACTAACTTTGAATGTTCGATTGCAAGATTATAATCCAAAAGTGGTAGGTCATCCTCCCAGTCAAGAATAGTATCACGAAGCTTTCCTCTGTTGTTAACGTTAGACAAATGTATGTTGACATACCTGCAACACCGTTTATTATGTTTCAAATAGGTGCATACAACTGATGATTGACGTAAACCCACTGATCCTGAAGGTGTTGATCGAGCGTATAAGGTTCCACAAGCACTACATGTATCAAGAAACATATCACCATGAAGAATAGCCAAACGGTCTCTTGGAAAGCCAGATCTTAAGTGCAACCCATCGATATTTTGAGTTACCAAGAATTTGACAACATCTGCAGACGTAAGAAAGGTTTCAGAAAAACCAAAGTACCATGTTTTTCCAATTCAACAAGAGCTCGATGTGTTAGTGATGGAACCACTTTTTCAAAAGGTACGGAAAGTTTAGGTTTTTTTCCAACTTTTTCCAACGTCCAGACACCTTCAAGGAATAACTACCGTAAAATTTAAACCTACCACGCGGACCTCGAAAGTCCGGTATACCCACTGATGTGCTAATACCAGCTCCAGTATGCACAACTATGTAGGTGGATTGACGTACCAAATTAGCAAGCTCAGTGAGTTTCAAATCTAATTGAGAATCATCATCGAGAACTTCAGGTAAACCACAAACTCCTTTGTTGGGATAGTAGGACAGCTTAGATGCATAATCAACTGACATTTATTTTGACTCAATGCGCACAGTACTAGGAAAACATATCATTATATTATCTTAGATGAAAAGCAACAATCAAAAATTCGCGATCAGGCGAACTATTTTAGCTTTATACCCCAGGCTAAAAAGGATACAATTAAATCAACCTTGAAACCAAGTTAGCACAGAGGAATTAGATTGCAACTTACAATTGGAAGCAATATCAAAATCTATTTAGAGGTCTAAATTATGTAGAACCTAGAGCAACAATTTAAACCCATATTGATGGCAGATAGTAAAAAAACGAGAAGGGAGACTAACTAAGACGAACTGGACAAAAGACATAATCAAGTAAGGACAAACAAAGATGAGGCGAAGTGGAAGCGCATCATTTAGCTATCTAACCGACAGTCGAGGAAAAATTCTCAAGAGGCATAGTATTTGTCACGTATGAAAAGATTCTTGATTTATTGTAGTCTGTGTTGTACGGTCTTGGGGTCTCATCGAAATTTAATCACGAAACTTAAAATCCAATTCAAATTTTGTTCTGTTTCAATTTTCACGATTGTAAATCAAGTGTACTGATCATATAAGTATACAGTCTGGTTTTTTACGATTTCGTTACGATCAATTCATATAGTTGAGGGTAAAAACGTAAGAAGACGTAGACTATAAGTTGAATATTCAACCTGGGAAAGAATTAATATTTATTCCCAAGTACTTGTATATGAGCTACACTCGAAGTGTGACGGCTAATGGAACCACCCGGTTGTCCAAACGGAAGTTGATGAAACAAGGTTCGAGTACAAGACTTAGTGGCTGAAAGTTGAAAGCATTAACTACTAAATCAACACGTCATAAAAAACGCTTTTTCTTTTTCATACGTACCGAGTCATTTTTCTGAGCATGATAATTATGGAAACTAATTCATAGTTAGTTCCAGTCTCCAGAAATCGTGAAAATTCTGAGGAATTTTAGGGTTTTCCATAAACTCACGTGAAAATGCATACTTTTCCCTAAAGCCTGTGGATATTTGGAGGAAAAACCGCAGGCATGAGAAACCTTTGAGGTATCTGTCATCTCCCTACATTTTCCAATGTGGCTTCTTCAGGATGCATAAGATTTTCCTTAAAACCAGAAAATTGCGGCATCGCGTAACGTAATAAAAATTCAGGAATTTGACCCAAATTAGTGTAGAAGTTCAAAGAATTTTAGATTGAAATACTGACGAATCTTGAAATGAAGTAAAATAGTACTGTTTTGTCGAAAACACGCCACTTATTATACCATATAAATGACATCAGACAAATGTGAGTAGACATATATCAGTTTGAAATAATCCCATTCAGTCAACACAATCCCGTTATAAAAGAGGACCTTACTTTTAAGGTGGCGCTCTTCCTAGGACGTTCAGTTTAGGTACGAGGGCAATTTAAAAAGGATATGTAGAAGCAGGAACAATGAACTGGTACGTGACTTACTTCGAAATACAATAATTATTATATTCTCGTATTCTTGACAGTGGTCATTATTCCAAAAAAATTATTATTTCTCACAGTGTAAGTTTTCTGAGGATTACCCTAAGTTTTGTATTGCGAACAATCTCAAGCCCCACCAACAGAGTCGAACTCCATTATGTATCATGTTCATTTTTTGGAAAATAATTAGTTAAATTCATCTTAACCCTAAATCACACAAATGTAGGACGAACGATACATCTCTTTAAGATGTCCAATGGCAAATGTGGTTAAGAAAAACAAAATTTTCACTACATGCATAAATTTTGGAATGAGTCTGTAACTTGTTTAAAATCTACAAGAGTAAACTTTTCCTGCGCTATTATAAACAACTTTATGATAACTTCACTATCACCGACCAGTGATCTGATGTATCCGTGGCGAACGACTCATAAAGCAAATTGCTTTAAAAATACCTTTGGCAACTATCGACTTCACCCTAGCTTGTCTTCAAAGCATTGTTCATAAAACTGTGTCCAGTTTTTTCCAATCAAAAAAATCCTTACTGGTGAGCCTTTTTCTCGACACTCTTGAGAACAATTTTCGAGTTTGCTTCTTCTTTTTGGTCTCCATTGTAAGGGCAGTTAAATGCTACTGGGCCCTAGCCAAATCATCCTGCAGTTGGGTCACTGAATATCGGAGAGATCATCGATTCCTGTCAAGGTCAAGAACAACAAACTCACATCAGTCAATCATACGTCATGAACTGGCCCATGCGGTGGTGGTCTCACTAACATTCTTGTACTCATTCTTACTAATATACTTACGTAATAGCGTCCTTTGTATTATTCATTCTTCAAAGCAGCCATTGTACTTCAATATGTCGAAGGCGTAATCCACATTAGATGCTGACCACGACCGTTCTCGTCTAACTCGATTAGGCCTCCAATCATTTAGAGTCCTAATATCAAACTCGTAAAGTGAAACCCATCAAAGCTTTTATAGTGGGTATTCCCAGGCACAAACTTCCAAACCGTGTTGTTATTTGATGACTGCAAATTAGAGTTACAAGCCCATGATTCATAAATTTCTTGAGAGCGAAGTCGAACCATGTCATGTGAGTTGAGATTTTTACATCAAGGATTTTTTTCGGTAATATTGAAATTCCGCATTTTCACGCCAGCATCTACGTTTTGTTGCTGTTGTCGTGACTATTATTGTGTTCAGGTTTACAGCTCTTAATTGGATCTTCGATCGCTAAGAATATCTAACGAAAGTTTTTTAAAACAGCTTTATTTGACATTATTTCCAATGTTCATTTTACCAGTAACTGAACGTATGTTTTTTGAACACAACAGATCCGAATGTCACTATTCGTTCACTAGATCTGGTTTTGCAGTTGAGGATGATCAGTCGCAGAGTCTCATCCTTAATATGACCGTGAATACTTCAATCACAATAGAACAAACGTACAGGGTTATAGATAACTCAGCAATCTCTAAGTACAAATATCTCCTTTAGCTTTTAACGCTACTTCCGACAATTCAATTACAGAATGTTTCTGGAATTATTAAGTAGGACTGTGAAATGAAAGCAGTCCATCTTAATTTGAGTGCGGGATGGTTATGTTTTACGGCATACTAAATAATTTCCTAAGGTTTGAGGGAAACATTTCATGAAACGTTTAACGATCATCAACGTCAAAGATCTCTGTCGAATGATTAGGGGCCTACTGGAGTTGGAAAGAAATGGTGCGACCAATGGCCGACGTCGAAGTCACACCGCGATCAGAAAAAACGTGAATGTTCGGAAGACCGTATGACACGAATGGCGTTATTAGAGAAATAAATTATTTAAAGTAGGTACAAACGAAAGTGTGACCACCACCTTATGGGCCAGTCCATGGTATACGATTAACTGATGCGCGTCAGTAGTCCTTGATCTAGACAGGGATCGATGATCTGTTAGATATTCAATGACCCAACCGCCGGATGATCTGGCCAGGACTCAATGACATTTCACTCTCCCTACAACTGTGTTTGGACAGCTAGGATGCAGCTAGACGTTTTAAACTTTGCAGATGATCTTGCTCTTCTATCACACACGCAACAACAAATGCAGGAGAAAACGACCAGTGTAGCAGTAGCCTCAGCAGCAGTAGGTCTCAATAAAAACAAAGGGAAAAGCAACATTCTCCGATACAATACAGCATGCACCAATCGAATTACACTTGACGGAGAAGCTTTGGAGAATGTGAAAACCCTTACATACCTGGGCAGCATCATCGATGAACACGGTGGATCTGATGCAGATCTGAAACGTGGAGAACTACGAAAGCCATTATCCAGAAGATACAAATGTTTATTAACAGTTGTCTACGCAAGATAATTCGGGTCCGATGGCCAGACACTATCAGCAACAAGTTACTGTGGGAGAGAGCAAACCAGATTCTGGTGGAGGAAGAAGTGCTGGAAGTGGGTAAGACACACATTGAGGAAACTACCTAACTGCGTCACAAGACAAGCCCTCACATGGAATCCTGAAGACCAAAGAAGAAGAGGAAGACCAAAGAACATATTACGCCGAGAAATAGAGACAGACATGAGAAGAATGAACAGAAACTGGATAGAACTAGAAAGGAAGGCCCAGGACAGAGTGGATTGGAGAATGCTGGTCGGCGGCCTATGCTACTTTGGGAGTAATAGGCGTAAGTGTGTACAACTGGGTCGGCACTTTTCGATTGTAAATGATGTTACTTGTATTTTGTTGTCAATCTCCGAATTCTGGTGACATCATTAATTCCAATGATGCTCAATATACTTAACTCCAATGCTTTCAAAAGTATGAAGTTTAAGCTTTGAATAGACAGCTTTATGACACACGTACCATGTACGTTTGCGGAACTCAAAGCGTCACCCTAGTATTCATTGCCAAACATAGCTTAACTTCAACATATCTATTTAAAGCACGTGAATTTCCGACTTTCTTGAGGGTAGTCATGCACAAAATGATTTTTAGAGATGTGACACCGCATCAACTAAATGCAAAAAAAAATGAAAAAAAACCTTTGTCTTTACAAATAAGCCACCACTGGCTGAAGCAACCGTTTGAGGTGAATTTTAAAAAACCGTTTTTCCTACTCAAAAAAAAGTTTATTTAGATCTGACCATTAATATTTGCGTTTAGAACTTATAAGTACCACGAAATTTCCGTTAGTACAACACTCAGTTGAAATAGTCGTGAAACGTTCAACGGCCAAAACGGAGGAAAAATTACATGACCGACCATTAAATAGACATATTTTAACGTTGAAAAGCACTAAAAACATGTCAAATAACACAGCAAACACATTAAATAACTAGAAAATCCTAAAATATAGAACTTGAGATTAAAACGTTGGAACATGTAACATGTGTACATGTATCCTGAATTACACACGACGATACCTTCGATAACCATCTTGGCCCGGGTTCCAAGATGACTACCGTACTTATCACATCCTGGAGTCAATAACAGCATAGAGACGTTTGTGAGATTTTGTCAGCTATTCAGAAGATAACGGTAAGTGCA